AAAAAAGAACACTCCTCGGGGTCGGTTATCCCCCATGTGCTGGGAACAGAGCTCGCTGTGTGTAAGCACCCAGTAATAACTTACTGAATGAGTAATTGACTAAACTAATGGTTGATCTATCTACTACCTTAATTTCAGCCTGAAACATTTATTTATTTATTTATTTTTTGAGTTGGAGTCTCTCTGTCTGTCGCCCAGGCTGGAGTGCAGTGGCATGCTCACGGCCGTAGCAACCTTAACCTGCTGGGCTCAGACGATCCTTTCGCCTCAGCCTTCCAAGTAGCTGGAACCACAGGTGTGCACTACCACACCTGGCTTATTTTTTAATGTATTGTAGAGATGAGGTCTCACCACGTTGCCCAGGCTGGTCTCGAACCCCTGAGCTCAGGCAATCCTCTCACCTCAGCCTCCCAAAGTGCTGGAATTACAGGCTTGAGCCACCACGCCCCACCTGCCTGCAACTTTTCTTTGCACTTTAGTAGAGCTTGTTTATACTTGGATTGTACTGTTTTTCTTTTTTAAAGTTGGGTTCTCACGCTGTTGTTCAGGCTAGAGTGCAGTGGCACAATTAAGGCTTACTGCAGCCTCAAACTCCTGGGCTCAAGCAATCTTCCAGTCTCAGGCTCCCAAGTAGCTGGGACTACAGGTGTGCACCAACACACCCAACGGTGATTGTACTATTTTCTGTGCATCTGAGGTTTGGTAGATTAGGTGCCAATGCCACTTCAAATACAATCACCAAAGTACAGGGTTGACAGGAAAGCCTGTTACCTCTAGAAGTTGGGTTCTTCTTTGAGCAGCTCTGTTTGTTGGAAGCTCATCTTTGCCGATTCCGTTGATTTCAGTCCGTGGGCCAGGAAAGCAGCTTTGACTACCTGCTTGTCAGTTGTGTCTCCAGGTCCTCCTTCGGCTGTTTGTCATGTGAGACGGGATTTTCCGCCTTCTTGATCATTTCAGTGGAACTCGCTGCTCTGGTTGTTCAGTGCTTGGAGGTGATTCAGACTTAAATGCAGAGCTCCTGGTGTGATCTGGCAGCATGGAGTGGAACAGGCCTCCCTGCTGGACTCCTCCTGCGCTGTTACAGAGCCTTACAGTCTAATAGATGTAGTATTGGTTTGAGGATCCTTTCCTCAGCACTCTGTCATTCCTTTTTTTGAGACAAGACCTTACTCTTTTGCCCTGACCGAAGTGCAGTGATGTGATGATAGCTCACTATAGCCTCAGACTCCTGGGTTCAAGTGATTTTCCTGCCTCAGCCTCCTGAGTACCTGGGACTGCAGATATGTGCCACCAACACACTTGGCCAATATTTTATATTTTTGCAAAGACAAGGTCTTGTTATATTGCCCAGACTGAGCTTTAACTCCGAGCTTCGAGTGATCATGTCACCCCAGCCTCCCAAAGTGCTGGGATTACTGATGCGAGCCACCACGCCTGCCCTGCCACATTACTTCTGTGTGCCATGCTGAATATTCTTAAAGTTTTGTGAAGATTAGGGATGTCTGAAAAGTTCCACTAAAACAGAATGTTTGGAGGTAGCACCTGCAAACTTGCGCAAAGACACAAACCCCTGTAGTAGTAAGTGAGAATGACCTGCTACTTTATATAACAAATACCTCTTGACTTTTTGTTTTTGACAGTTTTTTGTCTCACCTAATCTGGCCACCTTTGTTTTGAGTGTGGTGCCTCCAATGTCCATCATTGCTGTGATTTATGGACGATATCTACGGAAACTGACCAAAGTCACACAGGATTCCCTGGCACAAGCCACTCAGGTAAAGGCTCCTTCCTGTCCTTGTGGTCTCCTATAGTACACGCTCAGAGTCAAGGTGCTAAAGGACAGACCCTAAGTACCTTCCTGTTCTTACGTTAGACCCCAAGATCCCAGAAATGAACTGCTCCACCATCTCAACTAGATTTCTATTTATATATCAGATTCAACTAGACTAAACATTGTATGAAGTTCTCACCAGTTTTTTGTTTGTTTGTTTTGTTTGTTTGTTGTTTTTTGAGTCAAAGTCTCTTTTTCTGTTGCCCAGTCTGGAGTGCCGTGATTCAATCATGGCTCACTGCAGCTTCGACCTCCTGGGCTCAAGCGATCCTTCTAACTCAGCCTCCCAAATAGCTGGGGCTATTTATACCACCATGGCCAGCTAATTTTTTAATTTTTTGTAGAGATGACATCTCATTATGTTGTCTGAGCTGGTCTCGAACTCCTGGGCTCAAGTAGCCCTCCAGCCTTGGCCTCTCAGAGTGTGGGATTACAGGTGTGAGTCCCTGCACCTGGTTAAGTGTCTCACTTCTTACAATCACTATCTCTTATAGGACAGAAAAGCTAATCACATTTAAAAATAGTTATTAGAGCCGGGCTCGGTGGCTCAGCCTATAATCCCGTGCTGTGGGAGGCTGAGGTGAGTGGATTGCCTGAGCCCGCGGGTTCAAGACCTGCCTGGGCAACTTGGCGAGAACTCATCTCTACAATAAGTCAAAAAATCAGCTGGGCATGGTAGCGGGTGCCTATAATTCTGGCTACTCGGAAGGCTGAGGCAGAAGGATCGCCGGAGCCCAGCAGATCAAGGCTGTGGTGGCCACTGCACTCCAGTCTGGGCGACAGAGTGAGACTCCAACTCAAAAGAATAAATATATAAAAACAGTTATTAGATGACACTGTATCTTTTGTTAATTTGATAAAGCTGGCTTTGCAATGAGTGCTGTGCAATGTTACCTTTTTAAAAATTAAAAATAGCATATTTTCATGGTACAAAAACCATGTGTTTATCATTGAAAAATTAAAAAATATAAAGAGAGAAAAGCTACTGTGTCTTTCAGAATTAACATTAATAACATTTGGGGTCTATTCATTCTTTCTTTTTCTCTGTAAAAAATATGTTTCTGCATCAAACCTACTCTCCTGTTTTTCTGTCTGTCTATCTGATGCATGTGGGTATAGGTTTTTTTTTTCCCAAACATAGCATTGTTCTGTGTACTCTGCCACTTTTTTAACTTAGTTGTGCCTCAAGAGCAGCTTTTTATTGACAGTCTCCAAAACATGAGCCACATTTTACTCCTAGACACTCGTAAGGTGTGCCCTCCTCCTCTGAAGTGTGTGTATTATCTCCCAGCTGGCTGAGGAGCGTATCGGAAACATGAGAACCGTTCGAGCTTTTGGAAAGGAGATGATTGAAATCCAGAAGTACTCCGGCAAGGTGGACTCGGTGATGCAGCTGGCTCAGAGGGAGGCGCTCGCTCGGGCTGGCTTTTTCGGAGCAGTAAGCAGATCGTTTTGGAAAGACTTAAAAGGGCAGATATTAGGAGTATGAGAGCATTTTGTTCTGCGGCTCTTGGTATACGTAGGAAATAATTTTATTCTACCTCAAGTCTAAGAATGACATTACTTGAAATATTTTGTGAAGACACCAGCTATTCAGGCTGGTGTCCTTGCCCAGAATATCTCAGGATAATAGATAAACACATCCAATAGATATGTATTGGTTCCCTAGTTAGGGAAGGCATCTTTATTAATATTACTTTTTTCCTTTGCAAACTGAGTAGATTGATGGGAATCTGATGGGTGAGTTAGCTTTTAGATTTTTGTGGTGATTAGTATCTTCTTCAATATTGTGATATTTCAAAAGCACTGTTTACTTTGAAACTCAGGTGATATGTAATATTTTGGAAGAATCTTGCTGTGTCAAGTAAATGTAAAAAGGACACTGCAGGTTATATTCCTACTTTTTCATTCCGGGCCTTTAGTTCCCACCTCACTTCTGTGTTCTCTTCCCTTGGCAGACCGGACTCTCTGGGAACCTGATTGTGCTGGCTGTCCTGTACAAAGGAGGGCTGTTGATGGGCAGTGCCCACATGACCATGGGTGAACTTTCTTCCTTCCTCATGTATGCCTTCTGGGTTGGAGTAAGCATTGGAGGTATTTATTTTAAATAGGCCTGAGGAGTTTCCAATTAAAATCAGGGCATTGCTTTCAAAATAGAAATGGACCTCTCATGTCACTACCTCTTATCAATTAACTGTTTTCTAGAATATATTATTCCGATTTCGGGGCTTTTCTTTTGAGTTGAGGTCTCTGTTGTTCAGTCTGGAGTGCAGTGGCATATCATGGTTCATCATAGCTTCGACCTCCTGGGTTCAGGTGATCCTCCTGCCTCAGCCAAAAAATATTTATGAATGATTCATATAAAGCACATGAAACAGAGTTGCTTGCTTTTGTCAAGAATCTCTTCATTTAGCTTTTGTTGTTCATTCTTGGGTAAAGGGAAGCAAGGACCTTGGTGCCAAAGCTGCGTGTAGTCTGCGAAGTTTTCTACCTTTTTTCTGTACCTTTTCTGTATCCCCGTCACCATGGGACAAATCATCTCCTGATTTTTGTTTTCCTTCCTGTCTTTGAAAACTGAGTTGGAAAGATTATGAGGTCTGATTAAAGGACTGTCTTCGGGTATCCTATGGTATCACCTCAACTGGCAAGTTTTATTTTCAGGGTTTTGTGTCTAATGATTGAAAAGTAGAGGCGTTTTCTTAGACCGCTACAGGCAAGAGAGGATTTTTTTCTGGAATAAGATTTGCAGAGGCCCCTCAAAAGAGCATTTTAGGTTTGCTGGCTGGTCTTGAAGAAAAACCTGATCGAGGTGTTTTGGGTTGCTGAGTGGTTTGGGAATCATGAGGGCAGTTGGTTCAGGAGGACCCGTGGATGGGATGGCTTCTTTCTCTCCATCTCCTGGGTGGAGTCTCCTGGGCTGAAGGACTCCACATCCCATCATGGTCCTACTCCTCTAAATCTTTGGTCCTGCCTTAGGGTCTCACTTGCCCCACCTCCCCTCTCTGGCTTTTCTGGTCATACTCCACAGTCAGGTGTCTTCCCTGACTTCTTTTAATTTTAGATTTTCTGCCACATATGGCATGCTCTTTTAGTTCTTCCTCTTTTTCTTCCTTCCTCCAGACCATTTAACATGATAGAAGCTGTGTTTGTTTGTGGTTGTTCGGCCATCACCTTTCACAAGGGACAAATTCACAGCTGAGCCTTGCGCAGAAATGGACTGGAAAGCACAGTTCTGGTCATTGGTAGTCAGTTACTGCCACTAGTTGTAGAAGGTGCTTCCAAGGCTTTCTGTGTGTGCAGAGGTTGGGCAACTTGGCTTTCTTAACCCCAGGCCAGCCTGCGACTCAGGTCAGCTGTCTTAAGAGCTGCCCTCTGGTGCAAGGATGGAGGAGTGAAAGTTTAGGTAGATCAGTGGGGCTCTAGTGCCATCAGTTTCTCTGCATTTTTTTTTACAACATGGACAGGCACTTAAGGTGATGGAACTTTTAATTCCACAAGTTGATTGGATTTTAAACGCTTTCGTAATATTAAAGTAAGTTTATGCCTTTACACTATTGAAAGTAATTCTATAATGAGTTATCAATGCAAGAAATCCTGTTTTATTAAATAAGTAAGAATTTTTATATTGGTTTATGCTTAAAGCAGTGTACTGGGGCCAAAAACCCCAATTATTCTTTTTTTGAGTTGGAGTCTCACACTGTCGCCCAGACTGGAGTGCAGTGGCCGCTCCCGGCCACCGCAGCCTCGACCTGCTGGGCTCCAGCGATCCTTCCGCCTCAGCCTTCCGAGTAGCCAGAATTACAGGCGCACACTACCACATGCGGCTGATTTTTTTATTTATTGTAGAGATGAGGTCTCGCCTACCCAGGCGGGTCTCGAACCCGCAGGCTCAGGCAGTCCACTCACCTCAGCCTCCCAAAGGTGCGGGATTACAGGCTGAACCACCGAGCCCGGCTAACCCCAATGATTCTAAGCACATTTTCTACTAAGAGGAAATCGGAAGTACTGCTTGAAGAAAAGCAACATTCACCCCTTTTCATGTTCAGTGGCATTCAGTACATTGATAATATTGTGCAACCACTACCTCTGCCTTGTTCTGAACAGTTTATTATCCCCCCAAAAAAACTCATTAAGCAGTCTGTCTCCATTACACTCTCCTGCCAGCCCCTGGCAACCCCAGTTTACTTTCTGTCTTTATATTTGCCTATTGTGGATGTTTCATATCAATGGAATCATACAGTGTGTCTTTTTGTGTTTAGCTTCTTACACTTGGCATCATGTTTTCAAAGTTTGTCTACATTGTAGCATGAGAGACCACTTTTTTTTTTAAGGATGTGGTCTTGCTCTGTTGCCCAAGCTGGAGTGTAATGGTGCGACCATAGCTCACTATAGCCTTGAGCTCCTGGGCTCAAGTGTGCTTCTCATCTCAGCCTCCAAAGTAGCTGGGACAACAGGTACATGCCACATGTCCAGCTAAGAGAGACCACATTTGTTTATTCAGGACTATTTTGTTTTTGTTTTCCAAAGTCAATATTCTTTACCGTGTTAAACTATATTAGACGCTTTCCTTTTTTCTCTTCTTTCTTTCTCCCTCTCTTCCTTTCTTTCTCCTTTTCTTTTTAAAAATTAATAGCCTTTGTTTTTGAAAGTATTTTTAGGTTCACAGCGAAATTGAGTGGAGATTTCCCATATACGTCCTGCCCTGGCACATGCATAACCTTTCCTACTATCAATCGTCCCCACCAGAGTGTCCATCTGTTGTAGGTAACAAACCTACACCGACACGACATGTTGTCATCACCAGAGTCTGTAGTTTACATCAGTGTTCACTTTTGGTGTTGTGCATTCTGTGGACTTTGACAAATGTCTCATGACATATATCTACCATGATGGTGTCATGCAGAATAGTTGAACTTCTCTAAAAATTCTCTGTTCTCCACCTATTCATCCCTCCCTCCCCCCAGCCCCTGGCAACCACTGACCTTTTTACTGTCTCCATGCTTTTACCTTTTTCAGAATGTCATACACTTGGAATCATATAATGTATAGCCTTCATATTGGCTTTCTCTTTTTTTTTTTTTTTTTTTTTTTAAGAAATATGCATTTAAGAGTCCTCCGTGTCTTTTCATGGCTTGATAGTTCATTTATATTTAGTGGTAAATGATATCCAATTGTCTAGCTATTCCACAGTTTGTTTATCCGGTCACCTACTAAGGACATCTTGGTTGCTTCCAAATTTGGCAGTTGTAAATAAAGCTGCTTAAACATCCGTGTGCAGGTTTTCGTGGAGACATAAGTTTTCAGCTCATCTGGTAAATACCAAGGAGCGTAGTTGCTGGATTGGAAGATAAAAATATATGTAGTTTTGTAAGACTCTGCCAGGCTGCCTTCCAAAGTGGCTGTGCCCTTTGGCATTACCTCCAGCAACAAGTGAGAGTTCCTCTTGCTCCATATCTTTGCCAGCGTCTGGTGGTGTCAGTGTTCTGGATTTGAGCCATTCCAATAGGTGGGTAGTAATTTGTTGTTTTAGTTTGCCGTTTCCTGGTAACATACAATGTTGAGCGTCTTTTCATATGTCTGTTTACTATCTCTGCATCTTCTTTGGTGAGGTGTCTGTTCAGATAATTTGCCCCATTTTAAATCAGGCTTTTTGTTTTCTTGTTGAGTTTTAAGAGTTCTTTGTATGTTTTGGATAACAGTCCTTTATCAAATATGTCTTTTACAAATATATTCTCCCTGTCTGTGGCCCTTTTGACATTGTCTTTTGGAGCAGAAAAATCTTAATTTTAATGAAGTCTAGCTTATCATTTTCTTTCATGGATTGTACCTTTGGTATTGTATTGAAAAGTCATGGCCAAACTCAAGGTTGTCTACACTTTCTCCTATGTTGTCTTCTAGGAGTTTATGGTTTTACATTTTACATTTAGGTCTAAGGTTCATTTTAAGTTAATTTTTGTAAAAGACCACTTTTGTAAGGTTTGTGTCTAGATTCCTTGTTTGCATGTGGGTGTCCAATCATTCCAGAACCGTTTGTTTAAGAGACGGTGCTTGTATTGCCATCATGCTTCCATTGTATTGCCTTTGCTTCTTTTTGTTTTATTTATAGCCAGGTGCAGTGACTCACGCCTATAATCCCAGCACTTTGGGAGGTGGAGGCAAGAGGATTGCCTGAGCCCATGGGTTCAAGACCAGCCTGGGCAACACCGCAAGACTTCATCTCTACAATAATCCAAAAAATTAACTGAGCGTGGTGGAACAAGCCTGTTGTTCCAGCTACTTGGAAAGGCTGAGGCAGAAGGATTGCCTGAGCCCAGCAGGTCGAGGTAGCAGTGGCCATGAGCCTGCCACTGCACTCCAGCCTGGGTGACAGAGTGAGACTTCAACTCAGAAAAAATCTTTTTTTAAATTTTATTTTTTGAGTCAAGATCTGTCTCTGTCACCCAGGCTGGAGTGTGCAGTATTATAATCACAGCTCACTGCAACCTCAAACTCTTGAGCTCAAGTGATCCTTATGCCTTAGCCTCCTGAGTGGCTGGGACTGCAGGTGTGTGCCACCATACCTGGCTAATTTTTTTATTTTTTTTTGTATAGATGAGGTCTCACTATATTGCCCAGGCTGGTCTTGAACTCCTGGGCTCAAGCCATCCTCCTGCCTCAGACTCCCAAAGCGCTGGGATAGCAGAAGTGAGTCATTGTACCTAGCCCACTTCTTTGTTTTTCATTGCTTATTCTCTGTAGCCTTTGCTTTTCTGTCAAAGATTAGCTAATGATATTTGTGTGGGTCTATTTTTGCCCAATGCATTTTTAATTCAACCTGAAGGTTTTAGTCCATTGTTTCTTGAAGAAATATCCATACCATAGAATATTTGAATTGCCTTTTTTTCAGCATCCTCAGGGAAACTGTTACAAATATATGTCCTCACATTTGGCATATACCATTGTACTTAGAGTTTAAGTTGTTAATTAAATCATGATTCAAACCTGACTTTAAAAAGAGGTTGCTGGGGTATTTGGCACTAACCATGTTCTTTTTCAGTCTTTAGTCTATGAAAGTTGTGTTCATGAAATTGGAGAAGCCAGAGGAAAGCTAGGATATGAGACAGAGTTCTCAATGTCAATTTCCAGGCAGCTGTCTAATTAATTTTTGAAAGAAACTGGTAATCAGACCTGGAGGCTCATGCCTTTAATCCCAGCACTTTGAGAGGCCAAGGCAAGAGGATTGCTTGAGCCCAGGAGTTCGAGACCAACCTAGGCAACATAGCAAGACCTCGTCTCTACAAAAGTAAAATAAAGATTAGCCAAGTGTGGTGGCATGCATCTGCAGTCCCAGCTACTTGGGAGGCAGAGGGATCACCTGAGCCCAGGAGCTCAAGGCTGTGATGAGCTGTGATCGTGCCCCTGTGAGACCTTGACTCTATAGATAGAGAGAGAGAGAGCGAGCTGTTAAAGTAGAAACAAGTTATTGTCACTACCCTTGAGGGATGGGAGGAGCCTTGGCTGGTCCTGATGTGGATGACAGTGTGGATTCTGCTTCTCATCCTCAGGCCTGAGCTCTTTCTACTCTGAGCTGATGAAAGGACTGGGCGCCGGGGGGCGCCTCTGGGAGCTTCTGGAGAGAGAGCCCAAGCTGCCCTTTAGTGGTGAGTCTGAAATGGGATCACTGTTCTTTGCTGGGGTTAAACAGAGGTGGCTTTGTGCAGGCAGACCAGCTCTGGCCTTGCCTGTGAGGGACAAGTACAACCAGATGGGATCCCCATGGTGCAGCAGAGAAAGGGCCGATTTCCTAGGAAGGTGAGAAAGGACACCAACAGGGTGAGAGCCGGAATGTCCTGGGGCGTGACCGGAAGGGCCCTGGCCAATCCCCCAAATGGCTGTTTAAGGAGGTGCAGTCATGCAGGGAAAAGCCTCTCTGTTCTTTTGCATTTCGGGACAGATTGGAGGATACTAGTGCTCCTTGGCTAGAGCCACCTCTTTGCTTCCTACCAACAACTTCCCTGGAGCTGTGGGGCCTGGGCCAACTAGCTGTGGTCCCGGTCCCCTCCAGTTCTGTGGCTGTTGTGCAGCACTTCCCTATTCGTGATTCTTTCTTTCTTTTTTTTTTTTTGAGTTGGAGCCTCACTCTGTCACCCAGACTAGAGTGCATGGCTGCTTCCGGCCACCGCAGCCTCGACCTGCTGGGCTCCGGCGATCCTTCCGCCTCAGCCTTCCAAATAGCCAGAACTACAGGCGCGCTCCCACGCCCGGCTAATTTTTTTATTGATTGTAGAGATGAGGTCTTGCCAAGTTGCCCAGGTGGGTCTCAAACCCGCGGGCTCAGGCAATCCACTCACCTCAGCCTCCCAAAGGCGCGGGATTACAGGCTGAGCCACCGAGCCCAGCTTTCGTGATTCTTTCAACACGTTTCTTTCGGGTGGGTGAGATAAATTCTGGACCATGGGGGCTACACAGAGGTACATGGTGGGTGGGTGAGGGGGCATAGGTAAAAGGCCATTAGATTTGAGAGCAGACTGCTCCAAGCACTAGCCTTAACTCTGCCGCTTGTAAGCTTGGGGCAGGCTGTTGTCTGTGGTTCTCGGTGTTCTCATCAGTGTAATTGGAATTGTAATTTCTACCTCTCAGGGTTGTAAGGCTCAAATAAATCATGTATGTATAGTGCCTTGTACATCGCAGGTGCAGAGTTGGCATGTGGTAAGATCTAGATGAGGACCTGCTTCCTGACTTGTCCGTGAAGCGCTCATACTCCAGGACCCGTTTGGTGGGGCCCTCCGTCCACAGACAGGAGAACTGAGTCCAGCTGTGGCTGCGCTTTTCGCTTTACTTGATGAGTTTTCCATCTTGTGTTTCAGAGGGGGTCATCTTAAATGAGAAAAGCTTCCAGGGTGCTTTGGAGTTTAAGAACGTGCACTTTGCCTATCCGGCTCGCCCGGAGATGCCCATATTCCAGGATTTCAGCCTTTCCATCCCATCGGGATCTGTCACCGCACTGGTTGGCCCAAGTGGTTCTGGCAAGTCGACAGTGGTTTCGCTCCTCCTGAGGTTGTATGACCCCCTTTCTGGTAAGTGCTTCACCACGCTGGGGCGCGGGGGCCTCTCCTGAGCCCTCCTCCTGGGAGAGGATCAGACTCTGCGGGCCCCGCCCGTCAGGAGAGTCCCAACAGGCACTTTGTGTGTTTTGTGTGCTGCCTCTCCAAGTCCGTAGTGACGTCCCGAATTCCACCTCCTCATCTCGCATGCTGGGGGAAGGGCGGGCAAGACTGCTCAGGACCCAGAAGGGGCCTCGCGTGCTGCTGAATGTCCCTCCCACAGCGGCCCTCAGGAGTAGCGTTCGGGCCCGCGCGTGTGCTGGGTGCAAGAGCCCTGTGGCGCTCCTTCAGAAGCCTCTGCTGCTGCCTGAGGTGTGTTCTGTGCTGATTGTCGTGTGCTGGGTGCAAGAGCCCTGTGGCGCTCCTTCAGAAGCCTCTGCTGCTGCCTGAGGTGTGTTCTGTGCTGATTGTCGTGTGCTGGGTGCAAGAGCCCTGTGGCGCTCCTTCAGAAGCCTCTGCTGCTGCCTGAGGTGTGTTCTGTGCTGATTGTGAAGGCGGTTCGCTTGGAGGTCGGTGGCATCCGATGTGACTGTTGCTCTGTCACTCTCTTGAGAGGTTTTCTTTCTTTTTGAGTTGCGGGCCTGCTGCCACATAGGGCAGGAGTGCAGTGGCACGCCTACCTCAGCCCTCCTGAGGAGCACACGCCATCACACCTATACAGCTTTTTTGTACAGGCGAGGTTTTGCTGTGTTGCCCAGGCTGACCTCAGATTCCTGGGCTCAAGCAGTTCTCCGACTTTGGCCTCCCAAAGTGCTGAGAGTACAGGTGTGAGCCCACCTTGAGAGGTTTTCTTAATTGAGTTTTCTCATTCTGGTTTCTATGTTATTTTTATGTGTTTTTATTTACTTTTACGTATCTGCCTCTTTTTTTGAGTCCAGGTCTTATTCTGTTGCCCTGGCCAGAGTGCAGTGGTGTGATTATGTTTGTTGCAGCCTCAGCCCCTTGGGCTCAGGCATTCTACCTCACCCTCTCGAGTAGCTGAGACTACAGGTGCACACCACCATCCCCAGCTAATTTTCCTATTGTTTTGTAAAGACAAGATCTCACTATGTTGTCCAGGCTGTTGTATTATTTTTAACTGGATTATAGTGTCACTAAGAGTGAAGGACACATTATTTTACTTCTTTTTTTTTTTGAGTTGGAATCTCACTCCTTCGCCCAGGCTGGAGTGCAGTGGCATGCACGCTCATGGGCTCCGGCAATCCTTCCGCCTCAGCCTTCCGAGTAGCCAGAACTACACATGCGCATGCTACCACGTCAGGCTATTTTTTATTTTATTGTAGAGATGTGATCTCGCCAAGTTGCCCAGGCTGGTCTCGAACCCTCAGGCTTAGGTAATCCACTCGCCTCAGCCTCCCAGAGTGATGGGATTACAGACTGAGCCACCGAACCCAGCTATTTTACTTCTTTATATCCTGCCTGGAGTAGATATTCTGTAGGTGTATTGATCTGATTTTGGATTGAGAAAATGACAGTGTTTGTTAGCAAGCAAACAACTGCTAGTAAAAATCAAATCATGAATTGAAAATGAATGTTTTGTGTCTTTGTGATTGTTTTTATTCAAAACAATATGAGAGCCAGTTATGTGTCAGATGATTATTTGACTTGTGAATCCTGGCCCGCTGAATCACCACCTACATTAAAATGGGTTTCACGACAGTTTGCTTCTGGAGTTCCTGTCTTGATTCACTGTTGACTTGATGTAAAACTCTGAGTTTAAGAAATCCTAGTTAAGTGTATGCAAATCAAGTAAAAATATTGAGCTTCTAGTTTCTTCATCATAGTAAATAAATCAAGGAGAAAGGAAACTGCACTTAAACTTCTGCCATGTGTAGTCTGTAGAAGACTCTACTTTTTAGACAGAAACCTCAAGTTTTTGCAGTTCATGAAAGTTCCAGCTGACTTATATAATTCCACAATACTAACTGAGAAGCACTTCTTATGCTGTCACCATTGGCAACATCTCCAAGTATTGTTGGGTACCATCAATGTGTAGAATGAATTTTGTCAGCAAAGGTAACAGAATTAGCATCTAATTATTTGAAATCTCTCCCGTGGTATTAGCTGGAGTCTTAGATGCAGGTAACAGATTCCCTTCCAACTAAGTTTATGCAGAAATGGATTTTTTTTTCTTTGAGTTGGAGTCTCACTCCGTTGCCCAGACTAGAGTGCAGCGGCCGCTCCTGGCCACTGCAGCCTCGACCTGCTGGGCTCTGGCGCCTCAGCCTCCCAAGTAGCTGGAACTGCAGGTGCATGCTACCACAGCTGCCTAATTTTTGATTTATTGTAGAGATGAGGTCTCGCCAAGTTGCCCAGGTAGGTCTCGAACCCACAGGCTCAGACAATCCACTCACCTCAGCCTCCCAATGTGTGGGATTACAGGCTGAGCCACCGAACCCGGCTGGATTTTTTTTTTAATTGGAGTCTCACTCTGTCGCCCAGGCTGAATTGCAGTGGCACACTCACAGCCACCCCAGTGTTGACCTGCTGGGCTTTAGTGATCCTTCCGCCTCAGCCTTCCAAGTAGTTGGAACTACAGGTGCACGCTACCATGCCCAGCTAGTTTTTTAGTTATTGTAGAGACGAGGTCTCACCAAGTTGCCCAGTCTGGTCTCGAACCCACAGGCTCAGGCAGTCCACTCACCTTGGCCTCCCAAAGTGCTGGGATTACAGGCTGAGCCACCAAGCCCAGCCAGAAATGGATATTTTAAGGTGTAATAAAAGAGCTAAGAAACTACTGGCAAAATAGATTCTAGGCTGAACTTCTAGGACATTCCCAGATATTCACCCAATAGCCAGGCCTTCAAGGGATGTGCTAACACAGGCGTGGCTAGAAAGCTCCGGAATTAGGCAGCCACTGTCATGGATGCCAGCTTCAGAGCTGGGCCACCCCTGCCAATATTTGTGCCGCAAACGGGTACCTCATGGACTGCCTCCTCCCATAGAATTCTCTCATGAGTCAAGGCTTGGCATCTTACTGTTGGGATCCTGAGTCATTCTGGGGAATCTGGGCAAGATTTCCACGACCTTTGGGGTACAGGAACGTGAGCTGGATGGGTGAACTAGGTGAGGTGGTCATCCAGCCACTGTAGGTAGACAGTAGCCTTGGACAATCAGGACGGTCCCTTTCAGTTCTTATATTCTATAAAATATGCTGGTTTTAGGTTTTGCTTGGAGATTTGAGTATACTTTTAATCTTTAAAAAACAGAGTCCAGAAGTTCTCCACGGAGTCCTTTCTGTGTTAGTCATCAGCCCCATGACACTCAGTGACTCCTTCCTTTTCTCCCGACAAGGAATTATCAGTCTTGATGGCCATGACCTCCGTCAGCTCAGTCCCGTCTGGCTGAGATCCAAGATCGGGACAGTAAGTCAGGTAAGAGAGGCTACCGTGTTCATTTCACTTTCTTTAAAGTTGTTTTTGTCATTTGCTTTTATCTTGGTCTTGAACTTCTCAAGAGAGAAGGAATGGAAGTTTTCCAGATGTATGAAACTAATCTCACATGGCAGATTGTTTAGCTTGTAAATAGTGCTGTTTCCTGAAAAGCCCTCTACGTGAACCAGCTGAAGCATTGACTTTTTAGCAAACACTAAGACCTGACATTACTCAGTAATACTAGAGTCTAGAGGGTGGAGAGAATATGCCATAAGCTTTTACTGATTCTTCCCAACCCCCACTGTGGTCACCAGCCACAGTGTACTGTCCTACATAACGGGTTTCAGGGAGAAGTAGGCAAAGATGGTGGTAAGAGCCAGAAGGAAGGCTCCTTGCAAGGAAGTTGCAGACTTCAAGGCAGAGTTGTAGTGGGAAATGTTGCTGCATCTGTTTTTATTTTTATTGCCTAGCTGTGTGCGCAGCAGACAAACCAGAGCTTCCTCCCGCATTCCTGAACCTCTCTCTCTCTACTAAGCTTACCCTTGCCTCACTCCATGGTGTGAGGGCAGGCGGGCAGTGATGGGGTGGTCAGTGGTGTAGGGATCTCAGCTCGTGTTATAAGGGACGGAGAAAAGAGTCTGGCAGTTGGCTTGCTTTTTAGGACTACTCCACAGGATTCTGTCAAAATGTCATGCTACCACGTGGTTTGTGTGTGTTTCCAAAAGTAGCAGCCAGAGATGGATTCCCCTTGTCCCCAGTGGGAGGCAGGCAGCTGGAAAGTGCAGAGGGCTTGGGGTTTCCCGGCACCTCCCGATCCTCAGGCGGGGGAATCACAGCTACGAAGCTCCCGCCATGTGTCCGCTTGCCCTGGGGTCTCATGGCCTGCAGTGTGCTGAGAACTACTCGTGATAAAGTCCGTTAAAATTCATGGTAAAAGGCGAATTTTTTAAAAAGTCTGCGGGGTGAATTTATGATGAATGAGGAAGGAAAACCAAGAGAATAGTCTGTATTCTTGGGAGCACTTTAATGGTTCCTTGGATGTGAGTACTAATCTCTACTGTATTTGCTAGGCATGTCGAAAGTCTGTTTGAAATTTGTGTTTTATTTCCAATTTGTAGGAGCCTATTTTGTTTTCCTCCTCTATTGCCGAGAACATTGCTTATGGTGCGGACGACCCATCCTCCGTGACAGCCGAGCAGGTGGCGAGAGTGGCTGACGTGGCCAATGCACTGGCTTTCATCCAGAACTTCCCTCAGGGCTTCAACACTGTGGTTGGAGAGAAGGGAGTGCTCCTCTCAGGTGCGTGTGGGTTGCTGCTTTGTAGCAGAAACTCAGCGCTCCTAAGAACTCTCCAAACATTTCCACATTGCAATTTTACTTCCAAACTTGGTCTTCATCCTTGGAGTTTATGAAACCAGCCTTACCACTTTCTAAAATCTTGTATGTGGAAACTCGGTTTTTTTCACTTTCTACCCCAAAGGTGTTCCCGCAATTGAGTGTAGTACTCAGCCTCAGCAAGCTTTTTCTCATCTGAACAAAAGATGAGTTTTGCAACTTTAGACCCACAGATGGTAGAAAGTAAGACAGATGGGGTGGCTGGATGATCTGCACAGGAGTCAGGAATGTGCACCAGGACAGAGCTGAAACTAAAAGGGTTCTTTCCTCCCTAGCTTGCTCTTCCAGCAGCCAACAAACTGGACCAGCAGCCGACAGACTCCTGTAAATAGCCAGAGAGAAAGTATTTTGGGTTTTATAGACCACATATGACCTCTGTCACATATTTTCCTTTATGGGTTTTTTAAAGCAACTCTTTAAAAATGCAAAATGCATTCGTAGCTTGAGGACTGTGTAGAACAGGCTGTGGTTCAGGTCTGACCCTGGGTCATAACTTGCTGAGCAGACTTCCAACTGTGATGCAAAGTGGGCTGTTTGCTGTGATGTCTGGCTTCATGCTGTATCACGTTGTGGTGCTGTATTTTAGGACGTAAAGAGAAGACTTAGTTTGTATTGCTTTGGAGTGCAGAAGGGGCACCAGTGAGTAGAGTGTAAAGAGAAATAAATGTTCAGTTACATACAGGCATTCTTTTTTATCACGAATATTGTTTTCTGGTAAGAGCACAAGCTCCTGTCTCTGGAAGTGCTTGAGTCGCAGGTGAGTGCCTCTCTGTGAGAGTATAGGCTGGTAGGCTGGCCTAGGACGGTAGTCCTGTCCAACGCTAAACTTTTTACCTAGAGTTAGACCATAGAAAACTTAAAAAAGGTGTTCCGCTTATTATGTATGATTTTTTTAAAACTACATTTGGGCTTTTCTGGGGTAGAACTACACATTGCTGTGTAAAAGTGAACTGCTGCTGCCTCTCTGAAACATACCCAATCGACTGGGCCGAAAACCAGTTGAGCCTGCTTCTAGCAAAATTACTGAGTCTTGAGGTGTGAGGTTTGTCCCATGAGCCCATCACCTCCCTTCCCTCCTGCAGGGTTCTCAAGCTCCATTTCACAGTGCAGTAACCAGAGGTTCACATCTACCCTCGCTCTCTGGGAGGAAGAGAGGACATTTAGCAATAGATTCTCAGTACACTAATTGGCACCCTGGATGTCTCAGAGGGACCAGAGCCAGCAGGTGGCTGCTCTAAGACCTCCCTGAGGGCACTCGGGCATCTCCGTCCTCACTCGCCTCCTGGGACACACTGGTTTGCTGCTTGAGAGCAGCCTGACCAGCACCACAGCTTCAGGTGTAGGTGATGCACTTCTCTTAGTTGAAGTAAAATTGTGTTCCAGCATTTCCTGCTGATAAGTATGCTCAGCCAGTAAAGTCAACCCAGAAGGCATGTTTTTATCACCCAAAATGGGATTGGGTTTTACAAGACACAGAAGTCTGGAGGCGTAAGCCCTCTGAGACCCTGAGTGTGACGTGACCTGGGAGCCACGTCCTTGGAGGGACGGAAGGCGGACGGGTGAGGCCGGCCTGAGGAGGGATCAGCACAGACTTCCTGCTGACCTTTGACCTGCCCACCTTCCCGCACAGTCACCCCAGTTTGTTTCCTTTCAGTAGAATTTGAGTTTTAAAAGGGGAGGGGACTAGAGTGGTTCGCTCCATTTGTAGCTTCTAGTGTCACCCATCAACACATACGACCGTGAGTGCCTTCAGGGCAGGAAAGAGAAGCGACAGTCTGAGAATGGTGGGTGTAGAGAACAGGCCCCACCATGTGGGACCAGAGAGTTCGGTCCCTCACTGTTGACGCCTCTTCGCTCCTAGACATTTCAAGGACTCTTTGGAAACCTCCGAGGACCTTGAGTTCCTAGTTTCCTTGCTGTGCTGCGTAGGGAGGAGGTTTGTGTGGTGATTAAAAGTATAGCCCTTTGCACTGTGTAGGTTCAGATCTTGGCTCCACTGCTTACCAACTATGAGGCCTTGGACATGTTACTTTGTGCCTCAGTTTTTCACCTGGAAAATGAGAGTAATTATGTGGTCTGCCTCATAGGATTTACTTTAAGATTAAATGAAGCCGGGCTCGGTGACTCAGCCTGTAATCTCGTGCTTTGGGAGGCTGAGGTGAGTGGATTGCCTGAGCCTGTGGGTTCGAGACCCACCTGGGCAACTTGGCCAGGCCTCATCTCTACAATAAATCAAAAAATTCAGCTGGGCATGGTAGCGCACGCCTGTAGTTCCGGCTACTTGGAAGGCTGAGGTGGAAGATCGCCAGAGCCCAGCAGGTCGAGGCTGTGGTGGCCGGGAGTGTGCCACTGCACTCCAGTCTGGGCGACAGAGTGAGACTCCGACTCAAAAAAAAAAAAAAAAAAAAAGATTAAATGAGATAATACATGTAATGCATTTAGAAAATGCCTGGTATATAGGAATCCCCAGTGTATGTTAGCTATGATAATTTTATTATTATTAATTTTGAGATTGATAGAGAAACAAGATGTTTGAAAAACAGGTTGCTGTTCTGTCACCTTTTTCAGCTGTGACTGACTGGAAGAAGTTACCTTCCAACTGCTATGTGATTTGCCATCAAAACCATTACCAAGAATTTTTGTTAAAGCTTTCTTTTTTAAAATGTCTTTGTCAGGTGGGCAGAAACAGCGGATTGCAATTGCCCGTGCTCTGCTTAAGGTAAGCCTGTAGTTACTTGACTTATGTTTTTTCTTTTTTTTTAAGTCAATATTTTTTATGATGATATTGTGGGGTACAGTTAAGGGTTAGGTATACAAACATGCTTCATTCACGCACCCTTGTTGATAAGAGGTGTCTCCCCGTCCCAGACTGATGATCTTGACGCTTTTGGTATTGTTTTTATCAGGGACCTTGTAATTTGTAATTTGCTAGTTGTCTTCTTCCTTTTCCTTGTTTTGGTTTTTGGAGGGAGGTAGACATCTGGGTGGCAGTTCTGGTGAAAGTTGGTAGCTCCATTGGGCGCATGTTGTCTAACGTTCGTGAGCGTTTATTGGATACCAGGAGCCCAATACTGTGCTGAGATTGTTGGCGGGAGAAGTGTACCACATGGACCTTCCATCAAGAAGCATACAGTCTAACCAGTGAAACAGTAACTGTCAGTCAAAATATCACAACCGTACAAGCATGCATATATGTATAACCTATAATCAGCTGCTGAAGCAAATAGTACAGACTTGAAGTACTTAGCCAAGACGCCTAAGAGGAGAGGGAAGAACCATTTTAGCTGTAAGTCAGACATTCTAATTTTATATTTTTTATTTTTTGTTTAGAGACAGGGTTTGCTCTGTTGCCCAGGCTGAAGTGCAGTGGCACAATCAGCTCTCTGCAGCCTTCAACTCCCGAATAGGTGGGACCACACCTGGCTAGTACTCTTTATAGACACTCAATTTTTTCTTTTGAGTTGGGGTCTCACTTTGTCACCCAAGCTGGAGTGCTGTGGCACAATCATGGCTCGCCAGAGCCTCTACTTCCTGGGCTCAGGTGGTCCTTCTGCCTCAGCCTCCTGAGTAGCTGGGAGCACAAGCACGTGCCACCACACCCAGCTAGTGTTTTTTACAGACATTCTATTTTTAAGGAAATAATAGCCTTCCCCTGTGTTATACAGTTGTTCTCCTCAGGTTTATAGGTGATTTTAAAAAAACAAACAGCCGGGCTCGGTGGTTCAGCCTGTAATCCCGCACCTTGGGAGGCTGAGGTGAGTGGATTGCCTGAGCCCACGGGTTCGAGACCCACCTGGGCAACTTGGCGAGACCTCATCTCTACAATAAAATCAAAAACTTAGCTGGGCGTGGTAGCGCGCGCCTGTAGTTCCAGCTACTTGGAAGGCTGAGGCGGAAGGATCGCTGGAGCCCAGCAGGTCGAGGCTGCGGTAGCTGGGAGCGGCCACTGCACTCCAGTCTGGGCGACAGAGTGAAACTCCAACTAAAAAAAAAAAAAAAAAACTTTATTGGAACATAATTTACATGCCATAGAATTCATCCATTTAAGTATAGTTCAGGCCTGGCGCAGTGGCTCACGCCTATAATCCCAGCACTTTGGGAGGTTGAAGTGAGAGGATTGCCTGAGCTCAGGGATTAGACAGCTTGGTGAGACCTCATTTCTACAATAAATTAAAAAAAAAAAAAAGGAACTGGGGGCATAGTGGCGTGCACCTGTAGTTCCAGCTACTTGAAAGGCTGAGGCGGAAGGATTGCCTGAGCTCAGCAGGTAGAGGTTGCAGTGACTGAGATCATGCCACTGCCCTTCAGCCTGGGTGACAGAGTGGGACTCCACCTCAAAAATACATACGTACAAACATACACTTTGGTGACTTTTAGTAAATTTACAGAGTTGGTTGTACACATAATCCAGTTTCAGAACACACTTGCCACCCCTAAGAGAGAGCTCCTGCCATCTGCAGTCTTTCCCCATTCCCACTCCCACCCCAGGATGCCTGAGTCCACGTTCTGTGTCTGGATTTGCTTTTCTGGGCGTTTTGGATAAATAGCATCAGGTGATGTGTGGTCTTTGGCAGCAAGCTGCTTTTGCTTAGTACAGGTAGGACGTTTCTTAGGTTCCTCCATTGTGTAACTGGTATCATTCTTCATTCCTTTTTCTTTGCTGAGTGGTCTGCATGTGCCTTATCTGTGGATCCATTCATCTGTTGATGGACATCTGAGTTACTTCCAGTTTTGGGCTATTGTGATAATTTATAAATGAACGGCATCCAGTTTTTTGTGGGAATGTGTGTTTTCATTTCTTGTGCATAGATTCCTAGGCAAAACTAGACTAATGTATCTACATCAGCTTACTTTTATTGTTTTGTGTGTTCATTTGTTATTTCTAAATAAACTATAAGCAGGACCTTGAGAGTTATAGACGATATCTTACTTATTTTAGATTTCTGCCTCACAATGTTAGTTGATGGACTCAGCAGGATAAAACTGTGCTATAAACAGTATCCAGTCTTATGATTACTATAATAATGGTTTAAAATTGTCTCTAATTTTTCCATTTATGTACTTAACACAGACACATATGAGTTGGTGTTTTTCTTTTCTTGTAAAAGCACTGTCGCAATAAAATTCACATTTACCTATTTACCTATTTAAATTATACAGTTACCTAATTTACCTATTTAAATTATACAGTTGAATGGCTTTTGGTGTATTCAGTTATGCACTTGTTACCACAATTAATTTCAGGACATTTTCATCACCCCAAGCAGAGACTCTACCCTCTGGGAGCCACACACCACCCCTCCCTTAGTTCTTCCATTGACCCCAGCCCAGGGTGACCCCTGCCCTGCTTTCTGTCTCTAGATGTGCTCTTCTGAACATTTCATTTACATGAAATAGTACAGCATGTGATCATGTTTCCAAGGTTCATCCACATGGTGGCATGTGTCAGAATTTCATTCCTTTCGGCTGAGCATGGTGGCTCACACCTGTATCCCCAGCACTTTGAGAGGCCGAGGTGGAAGGAGCGCTTGAGGCCAGCCTGGGCAACATAGCAAGACCTTGTCTCTACCAAAAAAAAAAAAACTTAGTGTGGTGGTGGCATGTGCCTGAAGTCCCAGCTACTTGGGAGGCTGTGGTGGGAGGATCATTTGAGCCCAGGTGTTCAAGGCTGTAGTGAGTTATGATCAAGCCACTGCACTTCAGCCTAAGTGACAAAGTGAGACCTTTACTCAAAAAATAAAATAAAAAATAAAGAATTTCATCTTTTTAATTGCTGGAAGTTTGTGTCTAATTATTTTTCTTCTCCTTTACATTTTTTTCTTTAGAATCCCAAAATTCTTCTCCTAGATGAAGCAACCAGGTGAGGATATCTTGATAATATGTGTAGTTGTATTGAACCACATTCTTCCTTCACCAAAAACTTTTATTTCTGTACTTCCAAGTGGTATGACCGAATATGCCTTTTCCCCCTTTTCCTTTGAGACGATAGAGTCTGAATTAATCATGCCAGTTGAGAGACAGCAAGCAGATTGAGTCATGAGTTGAGGGTTCTGGTTCCAATTCAGACACGCTTACGATGAGTCCGTCACGACTCTGTAATCAGCACCTGTGTAGAATGCTTTTCTACTTCCTGCGCAGTGCGGCTTTATGGAGATCAAGAATCCCAAGCGTCGTTCTTGCAGTGTCTTTAGCCTGAGCAGTTGAAACTTGGATCAGAGTAAAAGTCCGCTGTCCATGAAGCGCCTGGGTGTGTGTGTCAGGAAGCAAGGAGCGTGCGCTCCGAGTGGCACTGACGTCTCTGCTTTCTTGCATGTGTCCTGGCTCAGTGCCCTGGATGCCGAAAACGAGCGCCTCGTGCAAGAAGCTCTGGACCGACTGATGGAAGGAAGAACAGTCCTGGTCATTGCCCATCGCCTGTCCACCGTCAGGGACGCTGACACCATTGCTGTCCTTGACCAGGGGAGAGTGGCGGAGTACGGGAAACACGAGGAACTGCTGTGCAGGCCGGACGGGCTATATAGAAAGCTAATGACCAAGCAGAGTCTTATGTTGGCGTAAAGAAGTGATTACTGGTAAATTGACTGAGAGAGACCTTAAAGCATTTTGGGGGGGGAAAAGCTTAAGAGTGTGTGAAATCTGTAAATCTTACATTTATATGAAATATGCCTATTTTTTTCCGAAGTGTGTAAAATACTGTTTTGAAATGTACTTGTTCTTCAGAGCTTTATATTCAGAGTTTTAATAATTATAACTTTATGTCTAGCGCCGAAGTTATTTTCAGGTCTTATACTTTTATCTTGGAATATTTTAATTAATACATGTCACCTTGTTTTCATTTGCCTGCTGTTGAAGATTGAGGCTATTGTCAAATGACAACTTTTAAAAGGGAATTATAAATTAAAAGCCTCATTATTTTAGGCCAGTTTACCAATCACTGTGTAATTCTTTTGGTAGTATTTCACCAACTTTGAGTGTGAAATCCACCTAATTTTACTAGGTGGAGTAATAGAAAGTGAAAATCGAATCCTTTATTTTATCCCAGTCATCTCGTGAACTGACCCTGAGTAGCGCCCAGACATGGTTAACAACAGCTGGAGGGAAGGGACATGGATAGTGCCTGTCTCCTGGGTCTTCAGTGGTGGGAGTCTAGTGATTTGTGTTCCTGTGGGAAGTGACTGTGTTTGAATATAGTTTTCCCCATTTCTGCACACAAAAGCCTGATGAGTTTTTTGGTTTTTTTTTTTTTGAGTTGGAGTCTCACTCTGTCGCCCAGACTGGAGTGCAGTGGCCGCTCCCGGCCACTGCAACCTCGACCCACTGGGCTCTGGCGATCCTTCCACCTCCGCCTTCCGAGTAGCAGGAACTACAGGCGCGCGCTACCATGCCCGGCTGATTTTTTGATTCATTGTAGAGAAGAGGTCTCACCAAGTTGCCCGGGCGGGTCTCGAACCCACAGGCTCAGGCAATCCACTCGCCTCGGCCTCCCAAAGCGTGGGATTACAGGCTGAGCCACCGAGCCCGGCTAGCCTGATGAATTTTAAGGAGGAAAGGACCTGCATCCTTTGAACAGAAAATCTATTTTATTTATCCACATATTTATTTGCATGAATATTTGTGGGAAGTGAGGCAGGAACTGTCAAGTGTTATCGAGAAAGACAGATAAAGACGGATTTTATATGTAAGCTATCAGAAAGCATACTTTTTGAAAAATTTATAATTCCCAGATAAATTTAATTTTGCAGAATTGGTTTTTGTTTTGTTTTTGTGTTTTTTTTTCTTTCTTTTTGTTTGTTTTTGTATTTTTTGTCGAGCCAGGGTTTTGCTATGTTGTCCAGGTCGGTCTCAAACTCCTGGGCTCGAGATCCTCCTGCCTCAGCCTCCAAAGTGCAGAGATTACAGGTGTGAGCTGTGGCACCCAGCTGGAATTTTATAGTTTTTTTATAATGCTTTTGTAATTTTATTAGTAAGGCTAAAATCTGAAGAATATAACCAATTTTTAGCCTTAAAACATTTGAAGAAAGTTTAGAAATCCTTGCTATTCAAAAAATAACAAGAAATTGTAAGAATGTGTCAGTCTCTTGAATATATTAATAAGCCTTTTTCTTTTTTATTTGTAATTATAGTTTTATTTACCTCAGTGTCCCAAAATTTCTAAAATAATGCTAAAACCCACAAAATTTACTACATTTTGTGTCAGTGCTGTTAATTTGCTGTTGCCTTAAGAAAAAGTGCTTTTTTCTACATTGATGATACTAGAACCTAAGAAGTAATTATGCTGATGTAAATGAAAAAATGGAAATTTTTCCATGTGCTAAATGTTGATAAGTTTTTTTGATTGAACTGGAAGAAGAAACCACTATTTCATGAAAAGCACAGAGTACTATATTTCATTCAATATAAGATAATTTATTAATGAATAAAATGGAGTCAACAAATGAATGAATTCAGTGTTCTTTGAATTGGTAGACAGCACATATGTGACAATCATCTTGTCAAGCTTTGCTGGTGTTGTTTATGCAGTTTGCTATGAGAGTGTGGTTTTCAGAAGGCAAACAAAACACAATTACAAGGCTGGATCTGAGGGAAGTCTCTTTGTGCCATAGGAGTTTCCACAAAATTGGATTTGATCATATTTTATTTTCTGCTATAAGATGTTCAGCTGTGTCTTTAGGTAACATTTTATCATAGATTAAAATTTATAATGAACTTTGTGTCTGTCACTTCTTGTAAAACTTTTTACAACATTCAGTTTCTTACTAGAATTTAGCTGTGGAGATTCAGGAATAAAGAAAAAACTAACATTACAAATATAGAAAAGTGAGGAGTAATTATGAATTTCATTCTGTTCCTCCTTATCAGACTGGTAATGTCCTCACTTGTTTGCTGTTTATAAACATTCTGTTTAGTTGCTTCAGTACCGTAAAGAAGTATCCCTGCCCCACCATGGACAAGGAATGTGCTGTAACGTTGCTGACAGATGCGTAAGGCAGTTTCTGCCCTCACAGGCCTTCTGGTCTGGAAGGGAGAGGTGAGGCAGGGAAGCGTTAAGAAGAGGGCTGAGCATCACACACCAGTGTGGTTTGGAACACTGTGCTAGTGTCACTTTTTTGTTTCCAGAGTATTTGCACACGTCACCACATCTGATACTTTGACAGTCCTGCAGTCTAGATAAATGTCTGTTATCTCTGTTCCACAGGTGAGAGAGGAAGCATAGGCGAGTTGTCGGGCAACTCAGCGTCAACGATGTATGCGATGTCAGGCACCAGGCGGCAAAAGGATCCTGGGGTGACAGGCCGGCCAGCCGTGATGTGCCTTTGGCGCCAAGCTGGGAATCTGGCCTTGCCTCCTGCATGCACGGGGGCTGTCGAGGGGGATGTGTGTTCACGGGGGCAAGGCAGAGCATCTGCATCACCTAAAATCCTGAACGAGAAGACAAAAACATTGTGGAGCCGAGCATTCTGCTGTACGCCCTCGCAGGCTCGTCTCCATGTGCACGGTCTCCCTTGACCTTGGACTTGACGGATTCTTAGAGAATCATCACAAGCTACACCATTGTAGGCCAAACCCTTGTAAGTCCGCTCGACGAAGTAGACCTCCATTTTAGAATATCCATTTTATCATAAAAATGCCAAAGCTAGCCAGGCTTGGTGGCTCAGCCTATAATCCTGCACCTTTGGGAGGCTGAGGTGAGTGGATTGCCTGAGCCCGCGGGTTCGAGACCTGCCTGGGCAGGTGAGATCTCATCCCTACAATAACTCAAAAAAGTTAGCTGGGCGTGGTAGCGCGCGCCTGTAGTTCCTGCTACTCAGAAGGCTGAGGTGGAAGGATGGCCGGAGCCCGGCAGGTCGAGGCTGTGGTGGCCGGGAGCGGCCACTGCACTCCAGTCTGGGTGACAGAGTGAGACTCCAACTCAAAATTAAAAAAAAAAAAAAAATGCCAAAGCTGATCAAAAACAAATGAGAGCAAATATAAATGTTAGAAAACCTTAAATATACAAATGAAAGAAGTATGTAAAATCTACATTGTGTTTCCTTGGGGGTGTTTTTCTACATCTGAGGCATCATGGAATTTTTCTGGTAATCTCTGTTCATTTAACCCACTCAAGCATTTTCCAAGCGCCTTTGATTTTGCTGGGTCCTGTGCTAGGTGTTGGCTGTGCTTTCCTCATGAAGCTAGTGCAGGGGTCGGCACGGTGCCACTGTGTACGGTTTACAAGCTAAGAATGTCTTTTACGGTTTTAAGTCATTGGGAGTTAAAACAATTCACGCTAAGATCTAGGAAGTTCAGATTTCAGGGTTAAGTAGGATTTTACCGGAACATAGCCACATTCGCTCCCGTCGGAATTGTCCACGGCTGCCTTCACCCTGCGGCCACTAGAGGAAGGCGTTGTGACACGAACGAAGGCCTGCACGCCACGCCGGGTGTGGTGCATGCCTGCAGTCCCAGCTGCTCGGGAGGCTGGGGTGGGAGGATCCCTTGAGCCCGGGAGCATGAGGAGCTATGATCCCGCGACGGTGCTCCAGCCTGGGTGCCAAGGTGAGGCTCTGTTTTAAAAGTAATTTTTAAGCTGGGCTCGGTGACGCGGCCTGTCATCCCAGCGCTCTGTGAGGCTGAGGTGAGTGGATTGACTGAGTCTGCGGGTTCGAGACCTGCCTGGGCAACTTGGAGAGACCTCATCTCTACAGTAAATCAAGAAATTAGCGGGCGTGGTAGCGCACGCCTGCAGTTCCAGCTACTCGGAAGGCGGAGGCGGAAGGATCGCGGAGCCCAGCGGGTGGAGAGTGCGGTGGCCGGGAGCGGCCGCTGCCCTCCAGTCTGGGCGACGGAGTGAGACTCCAACGCAAAAAAAAAAAGTAATTTTTAAAAAGGCCTGCAAGCTGGAACACTTAGAAGGCTTGCCTACCCCAAAACTACTGGGAAAAAAATGCGTCTGCGCTGCTTGAAAAACTTCTAAACCACACAGCAGTTTACAGTCCTCTCAAGAAGTCTCATCATTAGATGAGGGGCGGATGAACGCTGTGCAAACCACTGGTGTGCCTGCTTTCCACGATGAGTTCGTCAGTCCCCGCCTCTTCCTTCTCTCCTCCTAATTGCCGTGCTGCTGAGAGTGAGATGACACTTCTGGCACAGCCACAGGAAGTAATTCCGACTGGCTTCCCGTTGCGGGCTGCAGTTGATTGTCTCAAATAAACCAGGTTGATCTTACCTGAAAGGGCTCTACTTCGGGAAGGATGTAGGGAGAGGAAGCACATCTCCAGGTGGAGCCACAAGTTGGCCCTCACACACCCACACGTGTGTCTATACTGGTGGAGTGTTTTTAATAAATTACAATGAAAATGGGCTTATACTGCACATGAAGGAAATAAATCGATTTTCTTTCCATTTTAGATTCCTGGCTGAGGCCCCTATAATGAAAAACAGATGGGCAAAAAGTGTACAGATTTATTGAACCTAGTGGAACATGACAGGGGACCCTTTCGAAGTGGAGGCCCAAACAGGTGTGCTTGTGCGCTTCTATGCTTGGGTTTGATGAGTGGGCGGTTGTGGAAAAGTATGACTGGGCAAGAGAGTATCGTGTAACGGTAATAACTAGGCAGAACTGCCTGTTCTAGGTAATAACTAGGAAGCCTGCCTGTTCAGATTCTCCCCTGTGTCTGTCCCTCGTCTTCAGAGATCGGGATCTCCTTTCCATCCAGGTACAGGGAGGACACCCCTCACCTGAGGGTCCCATTACCTGCTTCAGGGGAGAAGGGCTGGACAGACGTTTCTCCAAGGCCACGGAGCAGTGTTTGGGTGTAGTATGTATGTCCTGAACTCCACCACGGCACAGACCGGTTTCTATTGTGTTCATGTGTATATGATGTTTTGACATATATGTGCTTGGTAAAATGACTACAGTCAAGCAAATTAGCCTCATCATCACCTTCCATGGTTACCTTTTTGGGTTTTTTCTTTTCCTTTTCTCTTGGTGGCAAGAGCGCCTCAAATCTACTCTCAGCATATATTTCAGTGTTGGTTTGTTTTGTTTTGAGTTGGCGTCTCATTCAGTCACCCAGGTTGGAGTACAGTGGCAGGCTCACGGCCACCGCAGTCTCGACCTGCTGGGCCCAGGTGATCCTTCCACCTCAGCCTTCCAAGTAGCTGGAACCACAGGTGCACACCACCACACCTAGCTAGTTTTTTATTTTTTATTTTTTTTGTTAAATTATTGTAGAGACGAAGTCTCGCCAAGTTGCCCAGGCTGGTCTCAAACCCCTGGGCTCAGGCAATCCTCTTGCTTCGGCCTGCCAAAGTGCGGGGATTACAGGCATGAGCCACTGCACCCAGCCTCAGTATGGTTAACTGGGCTCTCACGCTGTACATGAGCTCACTTCTAGATTTATGCATCTTACACTACTGCAAGTTTGTACCCTTTGGCCTGCTTCTCTGCACACGCTGTTTTTACCACCCCGCTTTCTAGAAATTCGTCCACATGTTTTCCTACATGTTTAAGTATTCATGACACACAGACACGTGTTTTTAACCACATAGTGTTCCACAATGTGTATGCACTCTAAGTCTGTCATTAGCCCTTTGTGTTACTTTCCATTTTTTTGCTATTATAAACAACACTATCTTTGGTATGATACCTTTGATTTTTCTCAGATAAGTTCCTAAAAGAGCAAGTTAAAGAGCATTTATATACATGTTGTAAGACTTTTTGATGAAATTGTCCTCCAAAGAGATGATAATAGCCGGGCTGGGTGGCTCAGCCTGTAATCCCGTGCTTTGGGAGGCTGAGG